AGTGGTTTGGGGAGGGGGAACTGTCCCTCAGGAGAGTGTGGCACCTTCGGCAGAGCCCCGGGGGTAGCAGGTGCTGTCAGCAGGGTGGCCGAGGGGTGAGGGCAGGGTTCAGCATCTGCCATGTGTCACCATCGCTGCCCTTCGCTCTGCCTAGCCTTGGGGCGATGGCAAGCACGGCAGGAGCAGCCTGGCAGAGCCTGCCAGACAGCAGGGCAATGATTAAGCTGGAGCAGCAGGGAGGCAGGAGGGGTGAGCAGGGCTCTGGGTGACCCGGGCAGAGTCCCATGGGTGTTCCCTGCCTGCGTTTCATCTTGGAAAGGTGCTCAGGGGTGCAGAGGGTTGTGCCACCTCCTGCCTCTGCGGTGTGGGTGGTGGTGCAGGGTTCTGGCTCATCTGGATCAGACCTTTGCTCTCCCCTGAGGGTGCCGCAGGGGTAGAGTCCTGGGAACAGGGAAAGACCTTTTCTACACGTGTGTTCTTGCTGATTGCAGATCTGCCTTCCCCTTACGGCTTTCCACAACTTCCTGATAGGTTGTAGCCCGCTGGGGGTTGGTCTCTTCTACCAGCTCACAAGTGACAGGACAAGGGAAAACAGCTGTACCAGGGGAGGTTTAAATTGGATATTAGGAAGAAATTTTCACGGGAAGAGTTGTAAAGCATTGACACAGGCTGCCCAGGGCACTGGCAGAGTCACCAGCCGTGGAAATGTTCAATACATGTGTGTATGTGGCACTTGTTTTAGTGCTGAACATGGTGGCAGTTGAGTTGGTGATTGAACTTGATGATCTGAAAGGTCTTTTCCAACCTTAACGATTGCATGATTCCCTGTGCCTGGATCCAGGTGTCTCGGCAGGGCTCGTGGAGCCCAGCGTGCCCCTCAGTCTCCCCCTGTGCAGCATGGTAGATGCACAGCCGTGTCACCAAGGGCTCCCTCTGCCCTGACTCTGGCCCGTGGGGTGCAGGGTGGGTGAGCAGGGGTGCACAGCAATGGGCAGAAGTGCCCGAAGACAGCTGGGCACAGCCCCTTGATGGGACACGGCTCTGCTGGCGACTGGGAGGGGACACAAGGGCTGATGGGCAGGGGACAGGCAGGGGATAGAGTGGGGCAGGAGGGCAGGCAGTATGTGCAGAGAGGAGAGGCAGTCAGGGGGGCACCCCCCCTGAGCAGTGCCGGGGTGCCCCCATTTGTGCACAGGGCCAAGCCCACCATTCTCATCCATGTAAGTATTTTTGTGCAGGGCTTCCTATGGCCTTAAGAGACTGTGCCATGCCTGGCCCTGTGGCAGGTGAGCCAGGCTAGCACCAGGTGTAGGGTGGGACAGGGACTACTTGCCAGCTCTGGGATGTGCCTGGGCATCCCCAACATCCACTGCCTGCACAGCCCTGAGCACACGTTCGTGGAGGCAGCATGCTATGCCCATTGGGGGCCAGCTCTGCCCTGGCTGCTGGCACCCAGGGGCTGCCCATCCACAGACAGGCAGGGTGTATGTACTCTGAGATGCCAGGGCACAGTGGGAATCCCACACAGCTGGTTGCTGACTCACACAGGGCACATGGCCCTCATCCCTACCCTGGCCGGTGGGTTTGGCCAAACCTGAGGTTCCTGGCACAGCCCTGTCCCAAACTGGCCCTGCCAGCAGCCTGGCAAGGGAGGACAAAGCCCTGCCATGGGGTGCCACCCCCATGCCTGGGGACCCATGGGCACACACACCCCATGTGCACACACCTAGGGAAGCCTGTGACAGAGGATGGATCAGGATCCTGGGTCAGGATAATGCATCCCAAAAGTGCTGTGCTGTCAGCACTGCTGCCTCGCTCCCAGGCACCAGTGTCAAAGGGTTGAGTCTTTCTGCAGAGCCCAGTGACTCTGTGGGGCTCTTGATTTTCACCCCCCCAATTCTTTCTACTGAGGAATCCTGGAAATGTGGCCCAAGGGCTGCTGAGATGTTTGGGGAGGAGGCAGCGTGGGAGAGCACTGTCTGTCTCCCTTACTGCACTGCTACCTGCTCCCG